TCCATCTCTGTCGCATCTTCAGTCAGCGCTCGCATATACCCCAATTAGTGCGGATCAATTAAGGCGCATAAATATATTTCATATTTGCGCATCGCGTAGTTATGTTTTGTTCGCGTCACGTGGCTGGGCTGATTGATGACATGCCGGGGCACTTGGTAACAAGCGATTGAGGACTGCACTTGCCGAAGGATCATGAGCAGGATGTGTGCGCCCAGGTTGGGGACGTTGGGGCCGTGCAGGGCGTGGCGTGGCGTGGCGTGGCGTTTGTTCTGCTAGTGTCAAACAAAAAAGGGGTTAATTTAATTTCGCGCACGAACGCATTTGTCCATAATTGGCAATTAGCACTGGCCATTGGCATAGCCAGCAACATGGCCTGGCCAACACACACACACACACACACGCACACACGCACAACTTACAGCGCGGTCTGCGTTTGCATTTTGCATTTGGCCAACGGCAACAAATATTTGTCTGCCTGTTCGTCCTGTATCCTTGCTGCGTGTGTGTGTGTGTATGTGTGAGTGAGTGTGAGTGTGTGCTGCCTTTTTTGTGAGCGATTTTTTAAAAATGGTTCGAATTATTGAGGCGTTGAAACAATAATCATCGCCTCGCATCGCCCCATATCGAATATTTATTGCCTGATTGCAGCTGCTGTTCGGCGATGTTAATTGCAACAGCCATGCAAAATGCGTTTAATGCTCAGCAAAGACAAAGATAGACAGAGACAGAGAGAGAGAGCGAGGCATGATTCGATTTGAACTCATTTTTCACACCATTTTTCAAAGTCACTTTGGTAATTTAATGACACCTTTGGGAAGCCTTTGCCCACTGCACTCAGCACTGCGGGTAGCTGCGCTAGCCACAGAGCTTTGCTATGAATATCTTAAAGGCTTTTCGATTATTATAATTCAAAATGGAGATAAGGCTGTCAGGGCTACTTGCTATTTGCTTGTCAACTGCGTGACACGTGGCTACAAAAAGATCTGAAGCTCTGTCAAGGTAGAAACTTTGTTGTGGCCGACTATCGTGAATCTGAGATAAATCCGTTTACAGCGCATTGCCATAGTCCGAATTCAAAGGATTTGGAAACCCAAAAGCTGGCCGAGCGCATTAGTCGCTGGCAACGACACCGTGGGACATTATCGCAAAGATCTTTGACTTTTCAGCCCGGCTAATGCTAATGTCCTTTCGCTCCAACTCTCCTCCCCTCTCTCTCTCTCTCTCTCTCTCTCTCTCTCTCGGTTTGTCTGTATCCGTACCTTTTTGGGCAACCGATTTTGTTGTTAGCAGGCTAATTATGTGACAGCCTATTAGCAACTCGATAAATATGTGCCCAGCAGAGAGTTGAGCGTAGAGGCAAATAGACCCATTCCAATGGGGCAGCACCGTTCTCTAAGCCGAGCGAAAAGTTTGCTTTATGGCGCCTACTCTTTGGCTGGAGCGAGGAATGGTGGCCCGGGCCTGAGCTCCATTCATTAGATATGCGAACCCTGCTCCCGGGCTGATTATGACAAAGCACTTTTACCCAATTGGGTAAATTAGGTGGAAACTGAAAACTAAAT